CCGGGTTTCTAACCTGCAGCTCAGCCACCTCCCATCCGATGTGCCACTCATCTGCCGGCCCATCCCTCTCGATGCCTCCACCACGCGGGTTTAGGGTTTAGGGTTTAGGGTTTAGGGTTTAGGGTTTAGGGTTTAGGGTTTGGGGGGCACGGGGTCTTCTGTGCGTTTTGGAAGCCTTTCATCTCAAGCACCAACCCCGAGTGGGTCCTCGTCATCGCTGAGCCTCTTTGAACATGTAAACGAGGCTATGGCATCTAACTGTATCTAACTCTTCCCAACCCTCCCGCCTAAACCCCAAAGGCCCGAAAGGCCCGAAAGGCCCTAAAGGCCCTAAAGGCCCTAAAGGCCCTAAACCCTAAACCCAAAAACCCTAAACCCTAAACCCTAAACCCTAAACCCTAAACCCTAAGAAGCCGAAGAACTCTAAACGCTACATGAGAAAGTGCTCACGGCGCAGCCTAAGCTTGCTGGCGGCGACGCCGCCCTCTCCACCTCTGCAAGCTTGAACTGTCCGGGAGTCTTTCCGGGGATTAGGGTGCTTAGGTGTTGTGGTCCTTAAGGTTCAAAGAGGATGGAACAATAAACCTAAAGACTAAAACTGCGAAACCCAAAGCCCAAAACCGTCATACGGCAGCTGGCAAGAGCACTTTGATTCAAGCCCACAGGCGCCTTGGCTTCAGGTGTGAGGCTAGAGGGTTGTTCCGGGGAAGCTTTCTTTATAGAGGGTACCAGATTTGTTTGCCCCCCGCTACATAATTGGGAGTCATACTCTGATTTTCTGCTTGCTTTAGCACAATGAGCATTACGCCACCACTACGGTTACTCCGATTATGATTTCAGGTCAGTCTTTTTATCATACCTAAACCCTGAACCCCATATCTTAAACCCTAAACCCTAAACCCGAAACCCTAAACCCTAAACCCCAAACCCTTCTAAACCCTCAACCCTAAACAGCCACTTCGAGGCGAGGCACGGAGGGATGCGCGCTGCGCCCGAAGTCCATGTGCTCGATGCCCGCCATGGCACAGATGTTGCCTGCGTCTCTGAAAGCCTACTTGGATTATGTTAGGGTTTAGGGTTTAGGGTTTAGGGTCTAGGGTCTAGGGTTTAGGGTCTAGGGTTTAGGGTTTAGGGTTTAAGGCTTAGGGTCTATGGTTCATGGTTGGGATAGTAATGAAAATTTAAAATCTTGTTCTTTATTGAGTTTAAGTACCCTTAAACATGTAAAATGTTTCCGCACTATGACAAAGGTTTAGGGTTTAGGGTTGAAGGTTGAGGGTTGAGGGCTTCCGCATGGCCACCGTTTTCTTCATTTAGCAGGTCGATCACAGGATTCAAGCCCAAGTTGAGTCATAGGGTTCTTAAGGGAGGGGGGGGGGGGTTCATGGGGGGTAGGTACCTCAGGAACCTTTAAGGAAGCTTAGGGAGCCTCAGGGAGTAGTGGGGAGTAGTAAGCAACCTTGGGTTCCATACCCCCCCTTGAACCCCCTCCCTTGAGAACCCTATAAATGGAAGTTCATGTCTTAAGTGTGGCTCTACGTATGAGGACTGCAATTACGACCTTGTGCGGATTGCTTGCGACACGACTCATAACTCACCATGCACCTCCAAGTAAGCCCGAAGCCCTCCAATGCTGCAACCTAAACCCTAAACCCTAAACCCTAAACCCTAAACCCTAAACCCTAAACCCTAAACCCTAAACCCTGGAGGCCTTGCGAACGCTGGGCTTAAAAGGCTTATGGAGTGCTTAGGGCTCATGGATCTTGAAGGCGTTGGGTTCCGCAGCAAGCTTCGGGCTCCCGCTTGATACCCTAAAACTCCCTGAACCCTAAACCCTAAACCCTAAACCCTAAACCCTAAACCCTAAACCCTACACCCTAAACCCTAAACCCTATTCTAAATGCTAAACTGCTAAACCCTAGACCCAAACATCCTAAACCCTACACCCTAAACCCTAAACCCTGGAAATCTGCCCAAGTCCGAGAAGCTGATGATGGACGCGGGCAGCCGCCTTTGCAGCAATTCTCAAGGGCAGGTCCAGGCAGTCTTGAGAGATTGGTTTTAAGGTTTAGGGTTTAGAACTTGGGGGGCTTGGGGATCTGGGGTTTAAAAGGCTATAGACTCCTTGGCCTCAGGGCCTTTGAAGGCTTTTACGGGTTTTGGGGGGGTCAGGTCTTTGGGGATTCAGGTTTCGGAGCTTTTGATGTCAGGTCAAAGGGTTTGGCAGGCCATGGGAGTTTTTGGGGGTTTATGGGCTTCGGGCTTTTTGCCGTGGCCGTGGTTCTGCTGGAATACCCTAAGTGCTACGAGGGTCCATCTTGCAAGAGGCTACCCGAACTTGGACACGAACTTAGCGAGCCTACGCGCCGTGCTGTGATGAAGGCATTTGCTGTTTCCCTTCGTCGTTCGCCATGCGATGGCTTCCATCAGCTTCCTCCTGGAGGCTCATCTCGTAGGTTCTGTGTTTCTCTTGGCGCCTCTTGCCAAGTTACGGTTGCAGAAATGCCTGCGCTTGAAGGGCCCATGACCTGAAACCCGGACATCGTAAAGCCCTAAGGCCCTAAGAGCTTAAACCCATACCAGGCATGCTGCTTTCATCAGCGTTGAATAGGGTCTAAGGGTTGAAGCATGCTCCACCATGGCTCCTGACTCTTGCGGTTGAGATTGTTGGCAGATTCTTTTTACACGGGTTGAGGGTTCAGGGTTTAGGGTTTAAGGTTCAGGGTATAGAACACTGTACGTAAGGCTGGCGAGGTCTTACAGAAATTGCGTGACTGCAGAAGCGCATTTAGAGCAGGGAAGGAAAGATCACAGAACAAATCGGCGGTGCCGTCTAAAACGCCGGCATACTTACAACTAGCTTCCGGGAATGCTTCTCAGGCATACCCTGAACCAAGAGCCCTTCAACAAGTCCTAGACTTCAACTGTACCCTGCCTCATGAGTGCGTGGTATGCAAATTTTAAGGCTAAGGTCCACTTAAAACATGAGCCTTTTTAAAGGCCTCATCACGAAGAAGCCCGATATGGCTGGAATACACCTGTAAGGTCATGATCGGGATCCTAACATGAACCACATACTCCTACCCAAAACCTTACAAACCCTATAAACCCCATAAACAACACAAAACCTATAAATCCCATAACTCCTACAAACCCTATGAATCCCTCTAAACCCTCTAAACCCTCTTAACCCTACAAA